CCCCCCCCCCCCCCCATTCCTCGCCATCTGTTCCCATCCTTGCTTAAGCTGGCTATTCTTTTTTTTTTTCCAAAAATATATATACGATGTCTCTCCTTTGGAACATCAAGGAAGTCAAGAAACTGTATATTACGGTAAACACAGAGGAAGTAGATTGCCCAAGTAAAACTTTCCTTTCCTCAGATCTCGACTTCCTTGATGTTCCAAAGGTGAGACATTGTCAATATGTCTCCTTTGGCAGTCAGTGGAACCCAGGTGTCACCTTCAAAATGCTAACAGAAAGCGAGTCTTGAACGCTTGTAAAAGCTTGCACGGTGGTTACAAACTCGGCTGGCAGCTTGGGCGTTCGCGTTCAAATCCGAGTAGCGTCCGAGGACTTTTATTCGTTGTCCATCAGGAATAAAAAACAGTTTTCACAATCTTTGAGTCCCTGCCGGGGTCTGCCTACCCCTCCCCCACCCCCACTCCCTACCCAACCCACCCTACCTCTTTCCGTGACTATCCTGAAATAATTAACTACAAACATGTTCAGTTCTATGTCCCTTTTTAAAGTTTTAGTAGCAGTTTTACGGCACTTGCAACACTAAAAGGTCATACAAGTGCCGAAGAATAGATGTGTTACAAGAGAGTAACATACACAAAAAGGAGAGATAAAGGCGATAGATGTTTGATAGGAAATAAGGAACAAACCACACCAGAGCACCCGCCAGCCACCCACTATGTCCTTTTGCGACTTGACGTATGATGCAGTTTAGCTTAAGTGGAAAACACTGGGGAAGTAGATTGCCCAAGTAAGACTTCCGCTCCTCAGATCTTGACTTCCTTGATGTTCCAAAGGACAGATATCGTCAAATATTTGAAATCAATGAGGGTGTACGAAGGGTGTGTCTTGTTGTATCACAGTTGTGCCATGGGTGCTTTTTATGGAAGAGAAAGTATTATGAATTTTGGCCGGATAGCGGTCTAATGGTACTCTTCTACGATTTCCAACGACCTAGAGATCTTTAACGTGCGCAACGTGCACTGGAGACCGACGAGATTTTTCATCCTTATCCGAAAACACTACGAGCTCGATCTTACCCACCTTAAGATTAGGGGAGTGGAGAAGGAAAGAGACAAAGAGACCTTTAAATGTTTGTTGTTTGGGGTTTTTGTGGTTGTTTTGAGGGGTATTTGGGGATTTTTTTTAGGTCTTTTGTTTCGTTCGTTTGTTTGGGTTTTTTCTTTTGATTTTAAACTGAGAAAAGAGAGAAAATAAAGAGAAGAAGGCTAAGAGAGGAGGAAGAGGAGAAGGAATTTACAGGAGAAATAGAAGGGAAAATCGGACTCGTGCAGGGACCAATGTGTAGTGAAGTTTCAGCAGTCTAGATGAGAAAAACTACATTAAATGAATAAACTCTGACAAAACATGGGCAGCATTTTTTTTTTACCCTCTGCATGACCAAGATCTAATGTCACTATTGGGTTTTCTTGAATTGTTGTTGTTGTTGCTGTTGCTGTTGCTGTTGCTGTTTTTGTTGTTGTTGTTGTTGTTGTTGTTGTTGTTGTTGTTGTTGTTGTTGTTGTTGTTGTTGTTGTTGTTGCTGTCGCTCTTGTTATTGTTATTTTTTTCTTGGATTTTTGTTGTTATTGTTGATTTTTTTTCTTGTAGATCAATTTGGAACATTATTTGTAAAATCGGTTCGTATCATGTTTAAGATAGTTATTTTCAAAATGAAATATAATGGATTATTGGAAATGCACAAACGAGTGATATACTGACAAAAAAGGGTGGATGAGGTGAGGTGGGGTGGGGGTGGTGGGACGCATCTCTCGACCTCTGGGGCTTAAAGAGAAAAGGGTCGAGTGTCTGAATGTGCGTGTAATGCTTGAAAAAGGGATATGGGGCACCAGTGTTGTACTTGAGGGGGGAGGGGGGAGGGCAATATACGCACATTTTACGTTTAATTTTTAATTTTAAAAAATAGATATCGGGGAATTAGTGAAAATGTGAGAACGGGTGTGGGGATGGGGGGTTGGGGGGGGGGGGGG